CTGACTCGCCGGGGTTTAGACTGGCCACGTCTCAGCGCTCTGCTGTGTCCAGGGGGCGTTTGCAATGAAGAGGAAAGTAATAGAGGCCTCCCTGGTGGCTCAGGGGGTTAAGGCGCAAGCTATGAAGCTGTCCTCAGCCACCGCAGCAGGAGTTCGATCCCCAGCCAGGGAGCTGCCCACATGGCGCAGCAGACCTCTCCTGACTCGCCCGCTGCTCCCCTCAGCAGTGTGTTTCAGTGGATCTGCCTGTTCTGCTCCCCACTCTGTCTCTGGTGAATCCTCTCTCCCCCCACACCTCTGGCCTGTACCCCAGTTCTTGTATGCATAAATAAATAAATCTTAAAAAAAAAAAAAAGAATTCACTTCTAACCAGAGGTTCCTGGGGAGACACAATAGGCCCTATGTTGTGCTAGAATCCGGCTTTACCAAATTTTACTTTTCCCCCTCCTTTTAAAATCAGAGTATTTTTTAAAAGATTTTTTGAATTTATTTATGCATACAAAAACTGGGATGTAGGCCAGAGATGGGGGGAGAAGGGGGTAGAGGATTCACCAGAGAGAGATCTACTGAAATTCGCTGCTGAGGGGAGCAGTGGGCAAGACAGGAGAGGCCTGCTGTGCCATGTGGGTCAGCTCCCTGGCTGGGGGTCTAATAGTGCTGCAGTGGCTGGCAATAGCTGGCTTTCCAGATTTGGGTTCAGGACTCTGATTTCTCCTTGACATTCCACAGCAACACATGAACAGGACCACCAGGGAGCACCCCCCTGACTATTTTAATAAACTGAAAAATACAGTTTCCTTTGGATTCAGACAGACTTGGCTGACTCAACCAGCCATTTTATTTTATTTTTTTTAAAGATTAATTTATTTATGCATACAAGAGCTGGGGTACAGGCCAGAGATGTGGGGGATGAGAGGATTCACCAGAGACAGAGCGGGGAACAGAACAGGCAGACTGACCAAAGTACACGCTGGGGATTGAACTTGTGCTGCAGAGGCTACGGATTGCTTCATAGTGCTGTGCATAACCCCTTGTGCCACCAGGGAGGCCCTGATTGAAGATTCTTAAGAGGTCAGGAAGATAAAATTGGCTACAGTTGCTATGATATAATTCAGTGTGGTGGCCAGATTTTATTTTGTGGGAGGTTTTTCTTAAAAAGATAAAAGTGGGCTTGATGTTTCCCGTTGGACTTGGACCTAGGAGGGTGATGAAATCAGTTTGTACCAGTGAGGGCCAGTTAAATATTTAGGAATTTGTTAGCCAATTATTAAACCACTGGTAGCCTGAAGTTGGGCATGATTGGGTTATTTTCCTTAGTCCGAGAGGAAGGGGGGAACCTAGTTTACCTGGCAAGGATAAATTTTCTCTAGAAGCTTGAGCCCATATTCAGTGCATCCTTGAGTTATTTGTTCCTGAGCTACTTTACACCCTTCCAAATTTTACAGAAGATTGATTTGAATTACAAGTGAGATTATAAATACACTGTAGGTGTAACTACAAGTCACAAGTACCTACAAGTTACAAGTCATTGAATAATTCGTTATTGGTAGGTTCTGACTAGCATGGAATCTGCGGCTGGAAGTAGTAGAGTCTGGATGGACAGCTTTCTGAGATTAGGTGAAAACATGTATACTCGCTGATGCATTTTCTGATACCTAGACATTATTTCCCAAAAGACAGTATTGTGTATAATTCCAGCAAAGTCCTACTCCCAGCCATTTCTCAATATCATTCTGTTTGCTCTCACTGCCCTTCTTACAAATATTTTACTGTGCAGATTTGCTGATTATGAGATAGCTTTTGGGTTGGCAGCTTATAGATATTCGATGTGTGGGGTGCAGGGGGAGAGGGGTAGTTCTTGAAATCTTATCTGTAACCTGCTCCCAAATCCCATTCAGGGTGGACTATTGGGGAGGAGGAGATGACAAAGATGTTGTCCAAACTTTTCTTTTTTATTTATTTATTTTTGCATAGAAGAACTGAGTATAGGCCAGAGGTATGGGGGGGGTTAGGGGTTGGGGTGAGAGGATTCACCAGAGACAGAGTGGGAAGCAGATCTAATGAAATACCCTGCTAAGGGGCGTAGCAGGCCAGACAGGAGAGGTCTGCTGTGCCATATATGGGTTAATCCCTGGCCAGGGATGGAACTCAGGCTGTAGTGCTAAGAAGGAAACCCCAAGCTTTCCTTTTATTTGTGAATTCTTGTTTAGAGTTAGGGTTTGTCTGTATTTTTTTAGGCTAGGCTTAGCCCTGATTATCTCTGTACTGTTCAAAATCATGTTCTGTTGCTTTCCTTTTTTATCTAAATCTAGGGCAACTTGAGGGTGGTATATTTTTTTTTTTTTTTTATAGAGGCATGTTTTTATTTATTTATTTGTTTGTTTTGTTTATACAAGTACTGGGTACAGTCAGAAGCACGTGAGGGTGAGAGAATTCACCAGAGCCAGAGCGGGGAGCAGAGCAGGCAGAAGGACCGAAGTACACTGCTGAGGGGAGCAGCGGGCGGCAGGAGAGGTCTGCGCGCCATGTGGGACCCTCCGCTGGTGGCCGGGGAGCAGCTGGGGATCGAACCGGCGCCGCTGAGGCCGCGGGCAGCTTGGCAACCCAGCGCTCAACTGCTGCGCCACCGGGGAGGCCCGAGGGTGGTATATTTTTAAGTCACTTGTCCTACTTCACTTTTACTTTGAATTTCAAATATGCTTTCTCTGAATACTGTATGATTGCTGATATGGTTCAGATATTAGAGTTTTATCTACCTTTAAAGCAAAACATTGCACAGTTTAGCTTTTCTTCAAACTTCTACATTCTTTCTTTTTTTTTTTACTTCTCACTTTAAAAAAAAAAAAAAAATTTATTTATGCATACAAAAGCTGGGGTACAGGCCAGAGATGCGAGGGGGGTGGCATGAGAGGATCCGCCAGAGACAGAGTGGGGAACAGAACAGGCAGACTGACTGAAATACACTGCTGAGGGGAGCAGCAGGCGAAACAGGAGAGGTCTGCCTCGCCATGTGGGTTTCTCCCTGGCCAGCCTGGGATCAAACTCATGCTGCAGAGGCTGCGGATTGCTTCATAGTGTGCGGTGCTTAATCCCTTGCACCACCAGGGAGGCCGCCTTCTCACTTTCATATCATATCTCTTAAACTTTTAAAATATTCAAAAGATATAAGCATTTTCTTTCATCTCTTGGCTTTGGAATTTCTACTCTCCACTGTTCTGTGGACACTAGAATACCTTCAATCCAGACCTTTTTTTTCCCAGACATTGTATTTTTGTACTGTGGAGGTAGCATAATATAATGATCCCCATGAACTTCAACAATAAACAACTTCAACAATAAACCAGCTTCAACAATAAACAACTCTTGGCTAATCTTGTTTTTATTTATTTACTTTTGGCTACTCTGAACCCCCCCCATGTTATTTTGAATCAAGTCCTCCCAGATATATCATTTTATCCAAATATTTCCATATGTAACTCTATGGAATGAGGACTTAAAAAAAAATCACAATACCTTTTCTTATACATTAAAAAAATTAACAGTAATTTCTTAATATTGAACATCCAGTTAATATTCAGTTTTTCAATTGTCTTATGCCATATTTTAAAATTTTGTTTGAATCGGGATCTGAAGAAGGTCTATATATTGCAATTGGTTGGTTTTTAAATCTCCTCTGCACTGTAAACCTCTCTTCTTCTCTCTCTGTCTTTATCTCCTGCAATTTATTTGTTGAGGAAACTGATTTGTGAGTCCTATAATCTGGACTTTGTTGGTTAGCACATTGCTTTTTCCTCTGCATTGCCATAAATTGTTCATTGGCTCTAGAAACTTGATCAGAGTCAAAATCAGATTTTTTGGCCAAGACCATATCTTGGATGGTGGTTTGCTTTTCCATCAAGAGTCTCCTAATTCTAGCTTTCTCTCTTTTTGTAATACTAGCAGCTATTGACACTCAATGCTTAGGTCCCATTTTTGTTTTTCAGCTCTAGCTCTTACACATTCTCTCTTCCTCCAGCCACTGGCAACTTTTCATTTACTTTCTGTCTCAACAGATTTGTCTGTTCCAGACATTTCATATAAGTGGAATCATACTTCTCTTTTGGTGACTGGCTCCTTATACCTTGTATAATGTTTTTAATGTTTATCCATATTGTAGCATATACCAGAACTTCATTATTTTTATAGGTAAATAATATTCCATTATATGGATAGACCCTACTTTGTTTATCCATTTGTCAGCTGATGATTAACTTTGTTTTTTTTTTTTTTTTTTTTTTGTGGGACCCTCGCCGGCAGTCAGGGAATGAACCGGCGCTGCAGAGGCTGCGGGCAGCCTCGCAGCCCAGCACTCAACCGCTGCACCACCAGAGGAGGCCCTGATTAACTTTGTTTTCAAAAAACAGTTCCGGCCTCCCTGGTGGCACAAGGGGTTAAGACACAGCATTTCATATGAAGGTATCCGCAGCCACTGCAGCGCAAGTTCGATTGACTCACATGGTGCAGCAGACCTCTCCTGACTTGCCCGCTGCTCCCCTTAGCAGTGTGTTTCAGTGGATCTGCCTGTTCTGCTCCCCACTCTGTCTCTGGTGAATCCTCTCTCCCCCCACACCTCTGGCCTGTACCCCAGTTCTTGTATGCATAAATAAATAAATATTTTTAAAAATAATTAAAATAAAAACCAGTTCTCACAGGGCCTTCATGTTGGCACAGGAGTTAAAGTCTCCGTGCTATCAAGCTATTGCCAGCCACTGTGGCATGATGCCCAGCCAGGAAGCTGACCCACATGGCACAGCAGACCTCTCCTGTCTCACCCGCTGCTCCCCTCAGCAGTGTATTTCAGTAGATCTGCCTGTTCTGCTGCCTACTCTCTCTGTGGAATCCTCACACACCCCCCTCCCCACACATCTCTGGCCTACACCCCTATTCCTGCATGCATAAACAAATAACATAAATTTTTAAAAAACAAAACAGAACAATTCTCACATGAGCTTTCTCTCTAGAATGAGGATGAACTCTGGACTGCCTCTCGGGATGACAAAAGGCTGCTGGATGGTAAATGTCAGCCGGCAGTGCTCTCACGGATCCGTTGGGTTATTCGTACCACCGAGTCCTCCTCCGGACCCTGAGAAAGTCAAAGAGTTACAACGCTTCATCAGCCTTTCCAAGAGACTCCTGGTGATGACTGGGGCAGGAATCTCCACCGAGTCGGGGATCCCGGACTACAGGTCAGAAAAGGTGGGACTTTATGCCCGCACTGACCGGCGACCCATCCAGCACAGGGATTTTGTCCGGAGTGCACCCATCCGCCAGCGATACTGGGCGAGAAACTTTGTGGGCTGGCCCCAGTTCTCCTCCCACCAGCCTAACCCTGCACACTGGGCTCTGAGCAACTGGGAGAGACTCGGAAAGCTGTACTGGTTGGTGACCCAAAATGTGGATGCCTTGCACAGTAAGGCGGGGAGTCGGCGCCTGACCGAACTCCACGGATGCATGCACAGGTGCAGCAAGGGCTGAGCGGTTTGAACACACAAAACCATGTGCTCCATAAGAGCAGGGACCCGGGCTGTGTTTTTGTTGTTGTTGTTGTTGTTTTAGATTTATTTATTTATGCATACAAGAACTGGGGTATAGGCCAGAGGTGTGGGGGGTGAGAGGGCTCACCAGAGACAGAGCGGGGCACAGAGCAGGTGGATCTACTGAAATGCACTGCTGAGGGGAGCAGCTGGGAGACAGGAGAGGTCTGCTGTGCCATGTGGGTCAGCTGCCTGGCCGGGAATCAAACTCTTGCTGTAGTGGCTGGTGATTGCTGCAGTGGCTGGAGATAGCTTGATAATGCTGTCTTTAATCCCTGCGCCACCAGGGAGACCCCAGACCCCAGGCTGTCTTGAGCATGCTTGCCTTCCTTAGCCCTTGAGGGGAGGATTTTGGAGCCAGCTTTTTATTTTGGTGTTGATCCCAGCAAACTCAGCAAGGAGATGGGGAGGTGAAACGGGAAAGGATGGAATTCCCAGAAAGGACATGTTAATGGCTGGGTTGCTCCTTTGGTCAGCTGGTGCTCAGCCCTGGGCGGCCCTGTGACTGTCTAGAACTTGCTTTAGAACTGGCTCACTGAGTCAGGAAGCTCTCCCATCCCTCAGTGGTGGAAGGTCCCTCGGGGAATTAATTCTGGAACACTGACTCTGCTCCCCCCAAGGAGGCTTCCTCGGCCAGAAAACACCCTAAGGAGGAAGTTACTGATGAGTGAACTGTGTGCAAGTGACTTCTAGGGTGTCCTGAGGGGATTGTGAGCAGAACACCAGCACATCTGCTGCAGCCTGTAGGACCTCCAGTGCCTGTACACCTGCAACACTCTCGGTTCCGTGGTGTAGAGAGAACCCTGTCAGTACTGATGCAAGGAACACGTGCCACCCTGGCCAGACCTGCAGCCCATTGCAGACCATCTCCTTATCCTGAAGCCCCAGAGAGAAGCCTTTGAGCACTGAAATCAGTTGGCTGTAAATTTTTCCTGGGTGCCTACAGTGTACCACCCTAGGTGGTAGGGAGAGATCAAAACCAGAGTATAAATGTGGTCTACTTGCTTGGGGATATTTCCTCATCTGTTTGCAGGGAGACCCGGAGAATAACACATTTAATGACAATGCCACACACACCAGTTGAATTGGCCAGGGAGCTGACCCACATGGCAAGGCAGACCTCTTCTGTTTTGCCTGCTGCTCTCCTCAGCAGTGTATTTCAGTAAATCCACCTGTTCTGTTCTCCACTCTATCTCTGGTGAATCCTCTCATCCTCTGCACCTCTGGCTTGCACCCAGTTCTTCTACAAAAAATAGACTAAAACTTAAAAAAGAGAGAGAGGGGCCTCCTCTGGTGGCGCAGGCGGTTGAGCGCCACGCTGTGAAGCTGTCTGTAGCCTCTGCAGCACTGGTTCGATCCCGCCGGCCAGAGACAGAGAGGATCCCACATGGCATGACAGACCTCTTGTCGTGCCCGCTGCTCCTCTCAGCAGTATATTTCATTGTCTGCCTGTTCTGTTCCCCGCTCTGTCTCTGGTGGGTCCTCTCACCCTCCCATGCATCTGGCCTGGTTCTTATATAAATAAATCTTTACAAAAAGAGAGAGAGAGAGGGCAGTGATGGACAGTTGTAGCAGATGAGGAGAGCAGAGGATGGAGTAAAAAACACACTGGTTTTGGCATTAGGGAAATCATTTAGGCACCAAGGCAGACATGGTTGTGTAGTAAGGAAACATTACTTGTTCTAGAAGGTTGGCAGTAGAAGGAAGGGGAGGAACAAGGTGGTAGCTGAAAAGGTCTTGAAAAAGTATTCCTGAAACGGGGGGAGATCTGTGGGTGCTAGGGAATAGAAGCTGTAGTGGAGGGGCTGACAATGGCCCGGGAGTCAATGCCAGGGCAGCTTCGGGCATCCCCAGCACAGCCTGTTGAGTTGGCTCCTCTTTGGTTGCAGGGTCCTCTGCTTGGATTGTGGTGAACAGATACCACGTGGGGTGCTGCAGGAGCGCTTTGAGGTCCTGAACCCCACCTGGAGTGTGGAGGCCCATGGCGTGGCTCCCGATGGTGACGTCTTTCTCACCGACGAGCAGGTTCAGAGCTTTCAGGTGGCATCCTGTGCTCGATGTGGGGGCCCTCTGAAACCAGATGTTGTTTTCTTTGGGGACACAGTGAACCATGACAAGGTGGACTTCGTGCACAGGCGTGTAAAGGAAGCCGACTCCCTCTTGGTGGTGGGATCGTCCCTGCAGGTATCTGACTTGGTGGGGTAGGGTCTGCCCCCTCTGATAAGTGGGTTCCCTGCTTGGTTCCTCTCTTGCATCTAGAGTGCTCTTACCTGTGTCTCCTTCTCGGACAGGTGTACTCTGGCTATAGGTTTATCCTCACTGCCCGGGAGAAGAAGCTCCCAATCGCTATACTGAATATTGGACCCACACGGTCAGACAACCTGGCCTGCCTGAAACTCGATTCACGCTGCGGAGAGTTGCTGCCTTTGATTGACCCGCACTGACCACAGCCTGATGCTCCTGAACCAGCAACTGGGCTTTCACTTGAATCCTGGGGCTAAAGGTAAACACCTTCTTGGAGATTCCACTTCCCACTCAACTGAGAGTAGTAGGGGGCACTGAGAAATTAGAAGGCCATGTGTGGCCTTCATGTATGGCCCTTCTTAATTAAGTGTTTAATGTACCTTATGGTGTAGGGTTTGAAAGACTAGGCTTTTCCAATTCTGGACACCTAGCTATTTAAGGCAGGATTCCCAAACCTGCCATCTTCCCACTTTTTTTTTTTAAAGATTTATTTATTTATTTATACAAGCGCTGGATACAGTCAGAAGCGCGGGAGGGTGAGAGAATTCACCAGAGCCAGAGCGAGGAACAGAACAGACAGACTGACAGAACAGACAGACTCACTGCTGAGGGGAGCAGCGGGTGGCAGGAGAGGTCTGCGCACCAAGTGGGACCCTCACCGTCGGCCAGGGATCGAACTGGTGCTGCAGAGGCTGCCAGCAGCTTCGCAGCCCAGCGCTCAACCGCTGCGCCACCAAGGGAGGCCCCCACTTTTTGTTTTTGTTTATTCCCAGTAACAGTTTTTTTTTTCCCCAATAACAGTTTTATTGACAATTCACTTACCATAAAGTTTACTCTTTAAAAGTATACAGTTAACTTTCAGTATACTCACAAAGTTGTGCATGAATCACTGCTATCTAACTCCAGAATGTCATCATCCTGGGAAGAGACCTGGAACCCATTAACTAGTCCTCCCCACTCCTTCCCCCCAGTCCCTGGCAACACTTAGTCTTTCTGTTTTGGCCTGTTCTAGACTTTTCATGAAGTATGTGGCTTTTTGTGTCTGGCTGTACCACATCATGGTTGTTTTTTTTTAATTTTATTTATTTTTGTGTAGAAGAACTGGAGAATAAGCCAGAGGTGTGGTGGATGAGAGGATTCACCAGAGACAGAGTGGGGAGCAGAGGGGCAGATTTACTGAAATACACTGCTGAGGGGAGCGGTGGGGACGGATAGGAGAGGTCTGCTGTGCCATGTATCTGTCAGCTCCCTGGCTGGGGATTGAACTCAGGCCGCAGAGGTGATAGTGCTGAGACTTAACGTCTAGGCCACGAGGGAGGCCCACATCATGTTTTCAAGGGTCATCCAGATAGCCACATACTTCAGTACTTTATATCTATTTCAATATATGAGTACCATCAATTAAAAAAAAGTTATAGCTTTATTAAGCTATAATTCACATCCCATACAGCTCACTCACATTGTGTATACCATTCCAGAGTTTTAGTATATTCCAAGTATATTCCAAGTATATTCCAATCACATTTTATTTTATTTATTTATTTATTTTTCTCACATCAGAAGGATAATGTACCGACGTCGTAACAAAGTTTAAGGGAGGCACATCTCACACAGCTGTGTGAACACCCAATCATCATGCTTATGAACCGGAAAAGGATCGCCAATCACTTTTTAAACAGACTTTTAATGAGCAGTTTTAGATTCACAGCAAATGGAACAGAAAGCAGGAGTTCTTATGTACCCACTGTCCCCTCTACTCACATGGTATTCATATTTACCTCTGGAGGGACATCTTATTTGCTCCCAAGTTTTTGGCCTTATGAATAAAGCTGCTATAAACATGTGTGTGCAGGGTTTTGTGTAGATGTGTTTTCACAAACTCATTTGGGTAAATACCAAGGAGTGAGATTTGCTGGAATATGTGAGATAAAAGCATGTCGAGTTTTGTAAGAAACTACCAGAGTTCCTGAGTGGCTGCACTTTTCCTACCAGCAATGAATGAGAGTTCTGGTACAAGCACTGTTAAAAAACATCTGCTGGGCCTCCCTAGGGCCCAGGGGTTAAGTCTCAGCAATATCATCCCAATGGGCCTGGCCTGAGTTTGATTCCCGGTTAGGGAGCTAACCCACATATGGCACAGCAGACCTCTCCTGTCTCACCTGCTGCTCCCCTCAGCAGTGCATTTCAGTAGATCCACCTGTTCTGCTCCCCACTCTGTTTCTGGTGAATCCTCTTACCCCCACACCTCTGGCCTACACCCCAGTTCTACCCCAGTTCTTCTACAAATATAAATATTTTTTAAATGAAAAGAAAAGGAAATTAAAAAAAAAAAACCCTAAAATGAAGTGTCCTGTATATATAGAGAAATGCTATATCCTAAGTGGATAGCTTGATGAAGATGTAGAGCATCCAGATGAAGGAGCAGAACTTTATCAGCCCCCAAGAAGCCTCCTTGGCATAGCCACTTTTTAATAGATTTTTACCTTTTTTTACATATAACATTACTTTTAGGCATATAACATGATTCGATATTTGTGTGTATTGTGAAATGGTCACCACAAAAAAATCTAGTTAACACCTGTCATACAATAAAATTATTTTTCTTAGTTTCTTATTACTAGAAGAATATTTATTTACTGCAGAAAGTTTAGCTGACACAGATAAGTGAAGGAATGTAGTACAAATTACCCATAATCAGTTCTACTGCTGAGATACCAAGGTTTAAAGTTCTGCTATAAAGTCCTCTTCACTTTAAAAAAAAAAAGGTATTTTTGTCACTATATGGGGGTGGGTGAATACTTAAGATCTTCAGGCTGATGAGATAGTTGCCCCCTCAGCTCCCTCCCCAAAAGACTTTGTCAAGCAGTAGCTTCTTCTGATGGGATAAATGCTTTCCCTTCCTTTTTATCTCACCAGGTAGAAGAAATGGCCGGGAAATATGTAAGCCAGTACTGCTGCTAAAGTGCTCCTAGGGATCTCACTCATGTGGGGGGAAGGAGTAAAGGAAATGGCTTAATTCATAATTTGAAGAAATGTCCTTAATTGCAATTTTTATATAGAAAAGGTGAGCGTTCATCTGAATGATTTTCTTAATCAAGGAATAAAGGAATCATTTAATAGTACACCAAGTATGTGGGGTTGTTTATACTGTGTATGTGTATTATATTATATGTATGTTTATATTCTTTTTTTTATCAGCTAAAAGAGAAAGGGGCTTTATGACACGGTCCTCTAAGGATCTCTGTTTCAGCTGCAGGAATGAGACACCTGCTTTGAACCCGGTCTGTAGAGAGGAAACAGTGAGTTCCCAAATGGGTTCTTAGATTTGATTTGTTTCCGCTGAGGAAAGCAGCAAGGCTTGTTTGATTACTGCTGTAACTAGAATCATTGTATCAGGCTAAAGCTTTCTCTGTGCAATCTCACCAACAAAGTGAAGCAGAGAGAAGAATCACAGCCTATTCCAGGAGGTCTTTTGTCTAAAATTAGGACAAGCAATATGAGTTCATCCTGCACCTGCCTAGGAAGCAAATTTCAGTTAACTGGGATAGTCCAAGATCTTGAAAACAGAGTCCTTTTCACCTACACAACTGTAGGTTTGCAAATAGTCATTCCTCCTGAAGAGGTGTAAATTGAATATCTCACTCCAGCTTTTTTTTTTTGCTGAAGAGGATCCTAAGGTGCTTTGAACCAAATCTGCTCAGTTACCCACAGTCAGTACCAATCATTGTGTTCTAATCTAGGTCCTTTGAATCTTACACCATTTTTAAAAAAGATTTATTTATTTATGCATACAAGAACTGGGGTACAGGCCAGAGGTGTGGGCGGTGAGAGAGAGGATTCACCAGAGACAGAGTGGAGAGCAGAACAGGCAAATTGACTGAAATACACTGCTGAGGGGAGCAGTGGGTGAGTCAGGAGAGGTCTGCTGCGCCATATGGGCAGCTTCCTGGCTGGCCAGGGATCCAACTCATGCTGCAGAGGTTGCGGACAGCTTCATAGATAGCCTCTTAACCCCTTGCGCCACCAGGGAGGCCCAAATGCCACTTCTTGAAGGAAAAAAACTCATCCAATAAAGGAATTTTTTTCTTCAAATTTATTAGAAAGGGAATATACGTGAAATTGAAACTCGATATATAGACAGAGCTGATTTCCATCTCTATCTTGCTACTCGTTCAGTGAAGTTAGGCGAGTCATTTTCTCTGATTTTCAGTCTCTTCATAATGAGGATAGTAGTAGCTACCTCACTGGGTGGTTATGGAGATTAGGGGTAATGATGAGTGGACCTCAGCACAGCGCCTGGCACATAGTAAGCAAATGGCAGCTGCATGGGGAGGTGGAAGGGGCAGCCATCATTCCTGCCACCCCTTGTCACCTCCCGACCCCAGCATTCCTTTTTAACTAGACTCACAAGGATCTTCCCCAGAGCCATATTTCCTTTTTGTGTAGCTGTTTGTGTCTTAAAACAATTACAAAAGTCAAGTCTTGCTTGATATAAAAAAGGCTTTCTAAAGAAAATAGTGTATCTCTCCTTCCTTCTTCCCCTTGGGAAATTAGCTACTGAACATCTATGCAAGCACTGTGGGAAGCTCTTCACAATACACCGACTCAATTCCCACAACCCGATGATCTGCACACGGTTCTTTCTTTTTGAAAGATGAGGATTCCCAAGCTCAGCGACTTTATTCAACTTGCCCAAAGTCACCCAGGGTGACCAGGCCAGTGATCAGGTCCTCCAGTTCTGAGCTCACTCTCGAATGCTGTAAAAACCCGCGAGGTGACCGAATAATTATATTGGCAGGGAAGCGGGGCGAGGTTCTCAGGAAACTTCCAGAAGAGAACCACACTGACTAGTTCCACCGGCGGGGAAAAAGTAGAGCACTCTGGACAAGCAGCCACAAACACGAAGTGTGGAGGTCAGACCTGTGCTTCTCTCTGGAAGGCGGGATGGGGAGTCAAGAGAGGACGTGAGGCACCCAGAGGCTGCTGTGCTGGCTCGCCAGCCCGACATCCATCGCCTCTCTCCTCGGCCGTTCCTTCTCGCGCCTCTCGATTCCCTGCACCCCTTTCTTCGGGCCCCTTGTCCCCCCGGGGATAAAAGCCGCGGAGGAGAAACCGGCAGGGGAAGTGGGGGCGTGTGGAGGGGAGCCCCAGGGCTGGCCCGGCGAGGCGGTTGGCGCACGTGAGATCGCCCTCTTTCTACGCTCGATTCGTCCAGTCCCTTCTTTCTGCCGGATTCTAGCTCAGAGGAGCCGGGGGGGGGTGGGGGGCGTGGTGGGGGGGAAGGAAGCTGCGAACTGAGTCGCAGCTGCCACCTCTAAGAACGCGACCCAGAGCTAGGGTTATCAAGCATTGCGCATGCGCGGGCGGCGGGCGCGCCGCGGGAGGCCGGGGCGGGTCCTGAGCCAGGGGCGGGGCTGTGAGGAGGTGGGCTGGGGGCTGGGTCACTAGTCACCAATAGAAAAGAACCAAGAGCCACGTGATCACAAGATACCCAATCACATTTCCTACTTCGAAATTCCTATAGCCCAGGGTAGCGCCCACGGGTGGATAGAGAAGGGCGGGGCTGATCACGTGATCTAAAAATGGTAAATACGGCCACGTGGTTTTTCCTGGACTGCGGGCCAACTGTGGCGCCACGTTGTACTTTCTTTCTTTTTTTTTTTAAAGATTTATTTATTTATGCATAAAAGAACTGAGGTGTAAGCCAGAGGTGTGAGGCTAGAGAGGATTCACCAGAGACAGAGCAGGGAACAGAACAGGCAGACTGACGAAATACACTGCTGAGGGGAGCAGCGGGTGAGGCAAGAGAGGTCTGCTGCGCCATGTGGGTAGCTCCCTGGCTGGTCTTGTGTTGCAGTGGCTGTGGATAGCTTCATAGGTTGCGTCTTTAACCCCTTGTGCCACCAGGGAGGCCTCCACGTTGTCCCTTTCCGAACGTTTATTTAAGGAGTGTGTGTGATGTGTTAGACACTGTGAAGTTACAGTGCCTGCTAGAATGTAATTACTCAGTCCAGTTAATTTATTCATTTAAATCAGCCCAGCCACTGTTGTAGTTTTTCCGGTATTCGCTTTCTGTTAATTAGTACCCAGATGAAGCACTTGAAGATTGTTGAAGAAGTTAATTCTCTCTCCCAACCTTTGGGATAATGAAAAAAGTAGATTTTTACGTTAGGAAATACTTTTAGTCTGTGGTGTAATGTGATGCTTCTCTGTTTTGTCAGCCAAAAAAAAAAAGAGAGAGAGAATAAGCAACAATCTCCTTAAACCCCACTTTCCTTGCATCTAAACAAGGGCTTGTGGTATTTTTCCATTGAAGAAATACATTTACGACTTTTACAGTTCATTAAAGGCTGAGGTGAGGTCTAATTTAATTTTGCATGCCTTACAATCCTACCCTATGCACGGAATGGTTATTCAATTTAAGCTTGTTGAATTTGGAAATAGTCGTGGTTTTACCTGCCCAAAGATGCTGAGGGCTAATGAGGGACCCTTCATTTAGTTTTTTTTTTTTTAAATAGAGGCATGTTTTATTTATTTATTTATTTGTTTTGTTTTGTTTGTTTGTTTATACATGCACTGGGTACAGTCAGAAGCGCGGGAGGGTGAGAGGATTCACCAGAGCCAGAGCGGGGAGCAGAGCAGGCAGAAGGACCGAAGTACACTGCTGAGGGGAGCAGCGGGCGGCAGGAGAGGTCTGCGCGCCATGTGGGACCCTCCTCTGGTGGCCGGGGAGCAGCCGGGGATCGAACCGGCGCCGCAGAGGCTGCGGGCAGCTTTGCAACCCAGCGCTCAACTCCTGCGCCACCGGGGAGGCCCCCTTCATTTAGTCTTAAGCAATTATTTATTGAGTGCCACTTTGTCAAGTATAGTACTAGGTGGGTTGGGATTATTATAAAAGGGATTATTAAAACACCTCTCTATGCTTTCAGCAAATTCAGTCCCATGACACTTCTCCTCTAAGTTATCCAGATTAGGTTTCCAGTCTCACATATGCCACTATAAATGATGGCATACTCATTTGCTTGGGTATGCCATCTCACTTGCTTCTTTGAACCGGTTTCCTCATCTGTAAAAGAACATAATAGCACCTACAACTATATAGCTGTTGTGAGGATGACAAGATAATTGTGCAAAATTCTTGGCACAGCCTGGGCCTTAGAGAGTAGTATGTATGTTAAAACATTTGCCAGTTTGAAGAGGAAGGGGAGAAAGTCAGAGAAGATGAAATGCTGGTAGCTACCAACAATCCGTCATTGTCTTGGCAGCAGCCCCAAATACCTTGTATTCCCAGCATTTTATACAGTGCCTGACCCAAAGTTAGTATTTAATAAATATTCATTAAGCTGAATGAAATGAGGAGAAATTACTAGATCAAAAGACAAATCTGCTCACACTCCCTTTTTCAAACAGAAGATCCTTTACTACCCAGCAGTAGCTACTCTCTGTCAGTCTCCAGTGTTTTAAAACTAGAGTGGGGATATGTATGGGGTAGGGGAACTAGAGTGGCTCCTCATAGCCAAATAACCCTCTCTCATCTTTGCTTTCCTATTTTTTAAAAGATTTATTTATTTATGCATACACAAGCTAGGGTACAGGCCAGAGATGCGGGCGGTGAGAGGATTCACCAGAGACAGAGAGGGGAACAGAACAGGCGGATTGACTGAAAACACTGCGGAGGGGAGCAGCGGGAGAGACAGGAGAAGTCTGCTTCGCCATGTGGATTGCTCCCTGGCTGGCTGGGGATTGAACTCGTACTGCAAAGGCTGCAGATTTCTTCATAGTGGGGTGCTTAACCCTTGTGCCAGCAGGGAGACCCCTCATCTTTGCTTTCTTAATTCACTTCCCTTCTCTGCACCTCCAACACTCTCTTTGCTGAATTTCAGTGCCAGTGTAATCATAAATACTGGTGGAGAAACTTGGCCAAGTGACTTAGTGGTTAAGAGCTCAGGCATTGCCATCAGACAAATCTGGTCAAATCCTGACTGCTGTCTATGTGATTTCAGCCAAGTGACTTAACTTCTCTGAGTGTGTAGTTCCTCAGCCTAAAATGGGGGCAACTAATATCCACCTCACAGGGCTGGTTTGAACATTTAGCATGATGAGGTGTGGAAAGTCCTTAGCATAGGGCTATATGCAGTAAGTGCTCAAGAAGCAGAAGTTATTATTGTTTATTATGTTTGATGGCTACAATGTGACAATCACCTTGTCATGTGTGGTGAAGCCTTTCCAAGGGTTTAGTAAGGAAAGATGTTGTAGAAAAAAATGGTTTAACACAGTTGAAAATGGAGGCAGAAAAACAAAAGAGGGGACAAGATTTGACTAAGATGGAGACAAAAGCCCAGAGCTTCAGACAGGGCAGGCAGGGTAAATGTGTGTTCTGTTGCCAGATCCAGATACATTGGGTTCGAATCCCTTCTTTGCAGCTACTTACTAGATGTATAGCTTTGGACAAATGACTTCTCTTGAGCCTCAGCTTAGAATAATAGGATTTGCTAATAGTGTCAAAACCTCATGGGATTACCCAGAGGCTTCAGAGACACATAGTCCTGGCACAGAGTAAATTATTGGTAGATGGTGGTAGAAATCATTATTCAGATCTCATGATACTTGCTTCCTGGAAATATCCCTCTCATTCAACTTTTGAGACTGGAAGGAATGATGCTTACCAAGGACAAGGAAGAGACTTAGTCATGTTCAACAGAGTAAAAATCTCCAAACATGAGACTTTTAATAGGTGCTTTATTAGAGGGCACAGTGTAACAGGGAAGCCACGAGGCAGGTAGGGCAGAACTCTTTTCAGAGGCAGTATTTATTTCTGACAGAACTTGTCGAGATCCAGATTGTGGTATTCTTTGTTATATGGGGACTGGGAAAAGCAGATGGCAGCAGTGCGGTCACAATTGCAGAGGAATTCCTGGCACTCATTGTTTTTACCTGGAAAAGAGCAAGAGGAACTGACTCAACTCAGGTGGATCCTGCTTTGTACAAACCAGGGGCAGATAGAATTGACCAGAATAATCCAGTGGCTTTGCCATTGCAGATTTAAGGTGGACATACTAAGCAAATAAAAGTATCAGAGTTACAGATAAACAATGAATGCAATATTTGGGACATAGACTAGCAAATTATTCGTTGTTTATGTGAAAGTCCAATTTAACTGGGCAACCTGTGTCTTACGTGGCAGGGGTGATAGTAGCCTTTTGGAAAATCCTCTCTACTTTGAACCCCTAAAATGCTCGGATAGCTTTCAGGCTCCACAGATCTCTGATAACATAGGCAAGCAATTGTGAATGTATGGAAAACACTAAAACATATACTCAGTGTTGCAAGGGATTGTACATTTCAACTTAGGAGAGTTTAGTGAGCCAATTTCTCAGCATTAAATCACGTTTAAAAAACTACTGGGCCTCCCTGGTGGCACAGCGGGTTGAGCGCAGCGCTGTGAAGCTGTCCGCAGCTTCTGCAGTGTGGATTTGATTCCCAGCCGGCCAGGGAGACACCCACATGGCGTGGCAGACCTCTCCTGTCTCTCCCGCTGCTCCCCTCAGCAGTGTTTTCGGTCCATCTGCCTGTTCTGCTCCCCCTCTGTCTCTGGTGAATTCTCTTACCCTCCCGCACCTCTGGCCTGCACCCCAGTAAGTTTATACCCTTGTATAAATAAATAAATCTTAAAAAATAAAAATGACAGAATATTGTTACAATAGAATGTTACGTTCTAAAAAATTAAACATATCTATATGTAATAATGATATCAAGATAGTTCACTAAGGAAAAAAATAGCTAGTCTATGTCCCAATATTTGAAAGGTGATATTCAGCTAACTGGTTATCTTTGAGGAGTAGAATTATTGGTGCCTTTTACTATCCATGACTTTCTGTAGCGCTTGAAATTACATTAGTTTGGCCTTGTTTACTTTCATAATCAAAAGAAACAGCAAAGATAACATTTAAAATTCATTTGAATTTTACTGTCCGTAATTTAATAATGTGCTTTGCTTACCTTTAATCATCTTATTAAAGTTTTCTCTCTCTGATCCTTTTTTCTGAAAATATATGTTTCCTAACCTAGTGAAAGCCCATTAAAGCATAAATCAGGGGCCTCCCCCATGGCGCAGTGGGTTGGCAAAGTACTGTGAAGCTGTCCGCAGCCTCTGCAGCATGGGTTTGATTCCTGGCCGGCCAGAGAGATTCCCACAAGGCAAGGCAGACCTCTCCTGTCTCACCTGCTGCTCCCCTCAGCAGTGCTTTCGGTCTGTCTGCCTGTTCTGGTTCCTGCTCTGTCTCAGTGAATCCTCTCATCCTCCCATGCCTCTGACCTATGCCCCAGTTCTTGTATAAAAATAAATAAATCTTTTTTAAAAAGCATAAATCAGCGCTTAGATTATACAGTGTGCACAACTAGATAATTATTTAGCAAATTATTATTTATTAATATGAATTAATACCCTATAATGCAAGCTTTTTGACATGCTTTTTTGGGGAGGAGGGAGGGAGGGAAGCACCTGCTTTAAAAAAAATTATTTCCCAAAGGGTGTATGTGTGTGATCATAGCTTTCATAAGATTTGTAAAGGAACCTGGAATCCATAGAAAAGAACCCTTATCAAGTAGTGCAAAAATATGGTTTCTATTTATTTGGCTTTCTATAGTGAATCAAAACCAAACTGTCTGTTAACAGTGGCCTGTATAAGCAAATTGAGGCATGCTATGCAGTGATGAATAGAGAAAGAATGATGACTTTGAAGTCAGATGGGAAATGGTTATGAAATGACAATAAGTCAAAAGAAGGTAAGTATCCATGGCACGAGAAGGGCAAAATGCAGTATTGTACCTAGACTGTGCATTCAGCAAATATTTACTGAGCACCTACTCTATGCCAGACATTGTTCTAGATTCTGGGGATAGAGCAGTGATGACAGTAGACAACAATCCTTGCTAGTGGAGAGACAGAAAGTAAAGAAATAAATATATCAGATGTTGAGAAGTCCTGTGGACTTCTCAGAGAACAGAGATAGAGAATGGTGGAGGGAGTGTATATGTGATTTAAAAGATGATGGCCAGAGACCTCACTGTGAAAATGAAATCTAGGGCCTCCCTGGTGGCGCAGGAGTTAAAGTCTCAGAGCTATCAAGCTATCGGCAACCACTACAGCATGAGTTCTATCCCTGGCCAGGGAGCTGACCCACATGGTGCAGCAGACCTATCCTGGCTTGCCTGCTACTCCCCTCAGCAGTGTCTGAAGACACACCTGGAATGTGCCCAAGCAGTTCGTGGTGGAAAGTGTTTGATGTGGAAGGAACAGAGGACTTGAGGCCAGTGTGTGACTCGCCATGATGAGTATAAACCTTATTCCAAGCAGGGGCCTCCCTGGTGGCGCAAGGGGTTAAGTCTCAGCACTATGAAGCTATCTGCAGCCACAGCAGCATGAGTTTGATCCCTGGCCAGGGAGGTGATCCGCATGGTGCAGCAGACCTTTCCTGTCTTACCCGCTGCTTCCCTCAGCAGTGTATTTCTATAGATTTGCCTGTTCTGCTCCCCACTCTGTCTCTGGTGAATCCTCTCACCCCCTGCACCTCTGGCCTGCACCCCAGCTCTTGTATGCATAAATAAATAAAATAAATCTTTAAAACAAATCTTTAGGGCCTCCTGGGTGGCGCACAGGTTGAGCACTGGGCTGCGAAGCTGCCTGCAGCCTCTGCAGCGCCGGTTCGATCCCCAGCCACTGGCGAGGGTCCCACATGGCACGCAGACCTCTCCTGCCATGCCCGCTGCTCCCCTCAGCAGTGTATTTTGTTGGTTTGCCTGTTCTGTTCTCCACTCTGGCTCTGGTGAATTCTCTCACCCTCCCGCGCTCCTGACTGTACCCAGTGCTTGTATAAATAAATACATAAAAATCTTAAAAAAAAGATTAATAAAAAAATAAAATAAATCTTTAAATAAATCTTTAAAAATAAATAAAATAAATCTTTAAAGTAAATCTTTTAAATCTTTAAAAACAACCTTATTCCAAGCATAGGGGCAAAAGCATGGAGGCCTCATGGTGGTATTTTTATATCTCATAGGATGGTGGGATTCAGTAATGTTTTCTTGGCGGTTTTGGGATTGAATAATGGTTATTCCAATATTATCTTACAGTTTTGAAAAGTGGATCTGTTGGTGAGTGCAAAGGGGAGGGCAGTGAAAATTCAGAATGATGGTCTGGCATGTACATTACCTGTCTGTCAGAGCTGCCTGGGTGGGGACACACCTCACCGTGTGTGCTGCATGACTTAGTCATCAAAGTGGAACCTTTGAAATCAGGAGCAACTGGGTCCAAATACCCATTCTACTACTTAAAAGATGTGTGATTTGAGGCAAGTGATGATTTTTGAGTCTCAGCTCCTGTAAAATGGGGTTAATATAACCAATCTTACCCCTGCCTAACCTAATACTTGGCATGTATAAGAACCTAATAAATACTGCTTCTAAGCTATTTTTATTAAATAACAAAGCAGTACAGAAGTAAATAGTACTGGAGTATTACTATATACTTGGAGTATATAGTCTTGTATTCAAAAGCCAAACACCATCACAAATGGCTCAGCCTGCTGAGCCTCAGTATCCACATCTGTAAAGTGGGCATAGTAACATTACCTATCCAATAGGGTCATTGTGAGGATTAAAGCAGACACTGCCTGGCACCCGGAAAATCATAGCTAAATAGTGTCTGTCATTACTATTAGATCACCCTCAAATACACTGAAGGTCTTTCAGCCAACAAGGGGGTAAACCTACTGCTGTTGCAGGTGACCTCTGTGCCAGAGCATGAGAACGAGTATCTTCTGGTGTAGGGGTTGTCCAGGATATATCTACAGCTTTCCAATTTCCTGGATTTCGAGTAGCATTCGTCGTGTACCTGGCAGCACCTGGAGAAAGAAGGGACAGAGCTGAGACAGCACAGTGGCCAGGAGCCAGTATCACCCTGCATTTGCTCTCTCAGACAGATGGGGATGTTTTAACTGGCATGATCAGCAAGGTTAAAAAAAAGTAAATCCCGTACAGTGTTTAGTGAAGTCGATTTTCAAATGATTGCAGGAATACAGCCCTATCATATTCCATATTCTGTGGATGCTGTGATAACTTTATAGCTAGAGATGACAATTGAATCGTAGCTGCGACGTCTTGTGTTGCAGCGTCCTGTCACCAGGGGGCAGCAGCACCCGCTACTTTGCATCTCCGACATTCCGCCTTAGGGTCCTCTTGGAACCCATTTCTTTATGTGACTCTATGAAATACGATCCTTAGTAAATGTGCAAGCTCCCTTTCTGTACCTGCTCGGGAGATCCTTGACTTGCGCCCTCCCTCCGCCCCGCGGGCTCTCCACTCTTCCCGCGGATCCATCACTTACCTGTCCAGGGCATCCACGGGGGTGCCGTATCCTCCCAGGCCGCAGTAGCAGCCGTAGTCAGCGAAGTCCAGCGCCGGGTTACTGTCGGGGATCGTGCACTTGATCATTTGGCGGAGTTGCAGCACTGACCGTGAGTCTTCGCTGCTCTCCGCAGCGGCCACTGCAAGAAGACACAGGGAGAGTTCAAATCCGTCCAGTGCCCCTGTGTCTCAGGCCCCACGCTCTTCCCCTAACCCCGGCTCGACCTCGAGCCTCTTCAGAAGACAACTGACATGAGAACCTGATGAAGTGAGAGAAAGAAAATTTTACGAAAAACTTCAATTTGGGGCCTCCCTGGTAATGCAGTGGGTTAAGTCTCAGCACTATGAATTTATCCGCAGCCACTGAAGCATGAGTTCGATCCCTGGGCCATCCAGGGATCTACCCACATGGCACAGCAGACCTCTCCTGTCTCACCCACTGCCCCCCTCAGCAGTGTGTTTCAGTCAGTTTTCCTGTTCTGCTCCCCACTCTGTCTCTGGTGAATTCCCCCCACACACACACCCCTCTGGCCTACATCCCAGCTCTTGTACGCATAAATAAATATTTTTTAAAAGTCTATCACCTCATTGAACTTATATCCTAGTGCGGGGGGGGACAGAAACAAGAAGACATAAATGTAATAAATTAGGAAGTGAGATGTTAGGGGTGGAAAAATTGGAGCTCTAAAATGGGGGACTTGGGTGAGGTGGCGGGGTAAAGTAGGGCTAGTGAGGAGGCCTGTGTGGACATCCATCTTCAACAGGTCAACCTCTTTTCTGCCTCAAGGTCCCTGCACCTGCTGTTCCCTCTGCCTGGATACTTGTCATCTCATCTCTCAAAGTCTGGAAGATCATAGCTTAAATGCCACCTCCTCAAAAAGGGCCTTTAGGTGACTCCAAGCGGCTTCTCTACTATCACTTTTCTTTGTGTCCTTTGCTTCATAGCAGAGATCCGTCTATTTAACATTCCTGATATAGGCCCATAAACACAAGGACAAGGCTTTGATGCTCCAAAGTCTGACATTGAGTCTGCGTATATATAATAGGCCCCTCCATAAATATATGAATGAAATGAATGAAATTACTAATAAGAGAATGAAAGAGGGTACCTGGCACATAGTAGGTGCTTGGTGAATGATCTATTGGCTAAGTGAAAAAATTCTGCCCCATTTGCAGAGTTCTACCCTATGAGATTGGTGTCCTGCAAGGAAGATGGCAGTAAGTGACTTGGGGGATCTGCTCAGTCACCCACCAATATCGTCTCTATGATCCATGCTTTGTCCTTTCCTGGATCTGCTGTGCACACTGGAGCCACTCCATGTGCTTAAACTCCAGGGGAAAGGAAGCAGTAGCTGATGGCTGTCGCCTGTGAACAACCTCTGTCTGCTCTGACCCGGGGCCACCATCCCAAAGGAGTGAATTCTTAGCACAAAGGGAATGGGCTTGGGGAGACCTACCTGAGAGCAGAGCGGCAAGCACGAGGACTTTCATCCTGTTGTCAAGGTGGTGAAGGAGAGAAAGATAGAGCCACCTCTGCCTGCCTCTTTATAACTGCCTCCCAGCCCCAAGATAAGGCTGGAGTGTTTGCTTTGCTCCCAGCTGACTTCTGGTTGGCCTTGAGTTTGTGCTGGAATAAACTTGACCAACATGCCAACTCTGCCAGCGAGGGGTGTTTGGAAGCAGTGTGCATTTGTCTCCTAATGAAAGGCATTACTTCTGGAATTGACTCCTTAGACACCTTGGAATTTTGACCCCTCCCTCTACCCTTGGCATTCAGCCCAGCTTCATATTTGGTGGAGGGGTAGGCAGGAAAGAACTTTCTACCCCATGTAACAGCTGGGACACAGGAAAGAAATGACTGCTGTCTCATCACATCTCCCCAGGCCCCTCTTGGCTGGGGCAGTTTCTCAGACTCCCTGTGTGGATGACCTTGACAATTTGGGGGAATACTGGTCAGATGTGGCCTACATGTTCCTCTGATGGAATTTGATGTTTTTCTCCTGTCTGGGGAAGGAAGGTCAAGTGCCATTTTCATCACACAGCCATATCTATTTAGTCATCTCTGGCCGGGGGATGCGTCTTGGCCCCTTGCCAGATGAGGACACTGAGGGGTCGAGCTGGAAATGGCCTCCCCCAGACCAGCACCCATTTCCCTCCACCAGGGGAGGCTGTCAGGTGTGAACTGGGCAGCATCAGTGGCCCTAACTCTAATTCTGTGGTCTCTGTTCAACTTCCTCTTGGGTACAGGCACTCAGAAAGAAGTAATCCATCAGGAAGTTGTCCCTGTTTCACCCCAAATCCAAGAGTCCCACAAAGGTGTCCTAGCTAATGAGTTAACCCCCAAATAGCACTTAGCAAGCAGATGAGAAAACTGAGGCCCAGAAAGGAGAAGTGACTTATTTGCATGGGCCTGACTCTGCTCTCATTCGACCCAGGTTCTTTCACGTGAGGGGTTTCTTCACACTTGCCTGAGCTCCCTACCTCTGCAAAATGGTAGTCATTAGGTACAGGTGGCTATTTAAACTCACTAAAATGAAATACTATAAAAAATCAGATTCTCTTTTTCCACTGGCCACGTTTCGAGGGTTCAATAGCTACATGTGGTTAGTGGCTGCTGGACTGAACAGCGATGATAGAGCATGTTTCCAGCATCCAAAAGTTTCCACCAGGCAGTGCTGCTCAGGATGAACTGAGCCTGGATCGGTGCTGGCCCAGAGGCTGGTGGAGGCTGTAAGAACTACCGGAGGGGGCCTCCCCAGTGTTGCAGCGGTTGACAGCTCTGTAGCCCTGGTTCGATCCCCGGCTACTCCCCGGCCACTGGAGGAGGGTCCCACATGGCGCGCAGACCTCTCCTGACACCTGCTGCTCCCCTCAGCCTTCGGTCCTTCTGCCTGCTCTGCTCCCGGCTCTGGCTCTGGTGAATTCTCTCACCCTCCCACGCTTCTGACTGTACCCAGTGCTTGTATAAATAAATAAATAAATCTTCAAAAAAAAAAAAAAAAAAGATTAGTCATCATGGTAATTCTGAGAAGTAAAAAAAAAGAACTACTGGAGGGATGGTGCTCAGGACCCCACATCAGCCTGCCAGAAGGTCCTGCTTCAGCCCCCAGAATGAGTGAAGGCTGACCAGGAAAAGGGAAGGCTTAGCCTGCAAAACGCTCAGTTTCTCTGAGGTTGGTTTGTTGGAGTTAGAAGAAAACAGAGGAGCAGGGGCTGCTCCTGTTGTGGTGGTCTGAAGAAGGAGTAGCTGCTGGAGCTACCACATTCTTGAAGGCCATCAGTTTTAATGACCTCTAGGCCAGGCCCCATGCCCAGAACCTGGCACAAACCTCTGAGGTAATTCCACTGCTAAGGTCCATTTTACTGAGAAGCCTACTGAGGATCAGAGAGGTTAAGCAACTGCCACAATGTCACACAGCAGGACCATGGTGAGAGACCCAGTGCTTCTGATACCTCATTGTCCCCTCAGATGGGGAGGACAGGGAACTGCTGTGAAAATGCCCAAGCCCTTTGGGACCAGAGGAGATTTGGTCCTTTCTCCTTCCCTCCTCTCCCATGCCCCCAGCCAGCTGGAGGCCTTCCACAAGGGCAAGCTGTCCTCAAGGACAAATTCCCACGTGTGCTTCGTGATTCGCGCTCGGACTTAGGCACACCATCTGATGGGGGCAGGGCAGGTGGCAAACACAACCCTCTCCTGCGGAAAGACACAGGCTACATGTGGCCATCTGACCCTCTCCAGGGACCCCAGAGGTGGCAGAGGAATGGACCAGGCCATCACGGACAGCCTGCTGAGCCCTACTGTCTAGGAACAGTGACCTCCGGAGGCTTCCCCCCTACGCAGGTGTGTGGGTACAGCCTGTTCCAGTCATGGAACACACACACTCTCCATGGAAAAAACAGCTAAGGATAGCTTCTTGGCTCCTTCAGGTGACGGTATACCCACACTCCAGCAAGGTCACACCTGCCCGGTGCCTGCTTCCAGGAAATGCTTAAAAGAACCTACCAGTAAGTGGATTTGTTTGTTTGTTTTTTAAGTGCTTTTATGTGTTTGGCATGCTGCTGAGGGCTTTCTTCCTTGCCTTTTTGTTTCTTCATTTTGAGGGCCTTTTTTTTTTTTTTTTTAAAGATTTATTTATTTTATTTATACAAGCACTGGGTACAGTCAGAAGCACGGGAGGGTGAGAGAATTCACCAGAGCCAGAGCGGGGAGCAGAGCAGGCAGAAGGACCAAAGGACAATGCTGAGGGGAGCAGCAGGTGGCAGCAGAGGTCTGCGCGCCACGTGGGACCCTCCTCTGGTGGCCGGGGAGCAGCCGGGGATCGAACCGGGGCTGCAGAGGCTGCGGGCAGCTTCGCAACCCAGAGCTCAACCGCTGCGCCACTGGGGAGGCCCTTGAGGGCTTTCTTTACATACGTGGTTTTTCAATCTTCTGACTTTTTTTTTTTTTTTACAGATTTTCTTTTATTTATACAAGAACAGGGCTATAGGCCAGATGCTCGGGAGGGGGAGAGGATTCACCAGAGACAGAGCGGGGAACAGAACAGGCAGACTGACGAAATACACTGCTAAGGGGAGCAGCAGGCGAGACAGGAGAGCTCTGCTCGCCATGTGGGTTGCTCCGAGTCCGGCGGGGATCGAACCGGCACTGCAGAGGCTGTGGACAGCTTCACTGCACGGCACTCAACCACCTGCACCACCAGGGAGGCCCTGACATGGTTTTTATTGTTATCATCTTCCCCATTTTACAGAGGATGAAATTGTTTCAGAGTGCGTAAGTGATTTGCTCAAAATCACATTAACTAGAAAATGGTGGAGGTAGGATTTGACCTGTGGATACCTGCCTGCCATAGTTCGGGGCTCTCTTCATTAATAATAATAACAGGCCTCCTCGGTGGTGCAAGGGGTTAAGCCTCAGCACTATCAAGCTATAGGCAGTCACTGCAGCATGAATTCGATCTCCAGCCAGGGAGCTGACCCACATGGCTCAGCAGACCTCTCCTGTCTTGCCCGTTGCTCCCCACAGCAGTGTATTTCAGTCAATCTGCCTGTTCTGCTCTCCACTCTGTCTTTGGGGAATTCTCTCACCCCTTGCTCCTCTGGCCTACACCCCAGCTCTTGTATGCATGAATGGATAAAATGAATCTTAAAAAAAATAATAATAACAATAGCCATACTAATAATAGCAGCAGCAGCAGCAACAGCAGCAAGTATCCCTTGAGTGTTGAGCCAGGAAAGACATTAGCTAATAATTAAGTACTATTGCAGATGAGTAAATTGAGGCAGTCTGCTAAAGTACCTAAACCTTTTTTTCCACACCCACAGCCATCATCCTCAGCATCCAGTTGCTCTAGCAGCATCCATTCTCTGTCTCCCCCACCATCCACCCAAAGAAGGAGGTCTTAGATATGCTGGACACAGACTTATCAGAGAGATGATTTGCAAATATTTTCTGTCATTCTGCAGGTTGCCTTTTGTGCACAAAGGTTTCAAAGCTTGACATAGTTCCATCTGTCAGTTTTTGCTTTTGTTGCCTGTGCTGTTGGTGCCATATGCTAGAAAGTATTGCCCACTCCAAGGCCATGAAGAATTCTCCAGGTTTTCTTCTAAGAGTTTAATTGTTTCTGGTCTTAAAAACATTTTAAGCTAGGGTCTCCCCAGTGGCACAGCGGTTGAGCGCTAGGCTGCGAAGCTGCCGGCAGCCTCTGCAGCACCAGTTCGATCCCCGGCCACCGGGTGAGGGTCCCACATGGCGTGCAGACCTCTCCTGCTGTGCCCACTGCTCCCCTCAGCAGTGTATTTCATCAGTCTGCTTGCTCTGCTCTCCGCTCTGACTCTGGTGAATTCTCTCGCACTCCCGCGCTTCTGACTGTACCCAGTGCTTGTATAAATAAATAAATAAATCTTTACCAAAAAAAAAAAAAAAACATTTTAAGCTTATTTTTGTAAGTGATGTAAGATAAGGGTCCAACTTCATTCTTCAGTACGTGGATATCCAATTTTCTCAGTACCCTTTGTTGAAAAGACTTTTCTTTCCACATTGGATGGTCTTGACATCCTTGTCAAAGATCATTTGTCCATGTAACAGAGGGTATATTTCCGGGCTTTCTGTTCTATTTCATTGACCTATGTCTGTTTCTCTACCAGTACCTCACTATTTTGATTATCATAATTCTGTAATATTTATTGCAATCAGGAATTGTGACACTTCCAACTTTTTCAAAGTTGTTTTGATTATTCTGGGTCCCTTGACATTCCGTAAAATTTGAAATGAACTTTTCTACTTCTGCTCAAAATGCCATTGGGATTTTGACAGGCACTACACTGTATCTATACATCACTTTGGGTAGTACAGGCATCTCAACAATATTGAGTGATCCAAATCATGTACATAGGATGTCTTTCTACTTTTTTGTGTCTTCCTTCATTTCTTTCAGCAATGATGGGTAGTTTTCTGTAAGTTTTTTTGTCATCTTGATTGTTTATTCCTAAGTATTTTTTAATCTACTCTAAATGGAATCGTTTTCTTAATTTCCTTTTCTGACCGTTCTGTATTAGTGTACAGAAGCACAAT